AATCCTTTTATGATGCAAAACTGAAACCCTATCCATCTCCCCCCAGCTCCTGGCAACCACTGTCCTACTTTCTGTCTGAGCATCTAGCTGCTGTAGTCACCTCACACAGGTGGAATCATACAGTGTCTGCCCTTTAGTGCCTGGCTTCTTTCACTGTTAATATAATGTCTTCCAAGTTCATCCATGTCATAGCATGTGTCAGATATTCCTTTAAGGCTGAATAATATCCCACTGTGTGGAAATGCCACGTTTTGCTATCCATGCATAGCTCAATGGACACTGGGGTTGCTTCTACCTTTTCATTATTGGGAATGAGGCTCTATGAACATGGGTGTACAGATATCTCCACATTCCTGTTTTCAATGCTTTTGGGTATATACCTAAAAGTAAAATTGCTGGGTCATATGGTAATTCTATTTTTACTTCTTTTGAGGAAACCTATTCTATTTCCCACTACCATTCACCGTTTTAATTTCCCACCAGGATTCCAATTTTTCCATAGCCTCACCTGCTATTTTCTCTCTCTCTGTGTGGGGTTTAATAATAGCCATGCTAATGGGAATGAAGTGGTATCTCACTGTGGTTTTGATTTGCATTTCCCTAATGAACAGCAATGTGGAACACCTTTTCATGTGGTTGTTGGCCATTTGTTCATCTTCTTGGAAGAAATGCCTATTCAAATCCTTGTCTGTTTTTTAAACAAATTTTGCTGGTGTTGTTGAGCTGTATGAGTTATTGACATAACCTGCACACTAACTCCCCAACCCCAACTCCTGTGCATCTTTAAGCATCTCCTGAGCCTGACACTCTGGGGATGCCAAACGCATAAAGAAGGGACTCAATCCTCCTGGAGCATCAGAATTACCAAGGAGCTTAAAATATTCTGATGCCCAGGCTTCATGGTTTTGAATGAATTGGTCTGAGTGGTGTGTGAGGCATCAGTATTTTTCAAAGTCTCCTCCAGGTGGTTCTAAGATGCACCAAGAGTTAAAATCCACCACCACCAAGTACTCCTCCCTCTCCCTGCACTGCCCTCCCCCACTTAGTGCTGAGAATGAGAGGGTGTTAGGAAGACAAGGGGACTAGGCCCCACCCCAGCGAGAAGCCTTTCAATGTCAGGGTGGCAGTGACTAGTAGGAAAGGCAGTGTTAATCCCTCCCACTGATGTCCCAATAGCAGTCAAGGCTCAACTATAATAGGAGGGCACACACAACCCAAACAGAGGACATGCCTGGAGCACATGGCTCAGGTGACCAGAAAGATTGTGCCACTGAGCCCCATAGCACACCTACTATACAAGGCCACTCTATCAAGCCTGTGAAACAGCAGTTCTACCTAATACATAGAAACAAACACAGGAAAGCTGCCAAAATAAGGAGACAAAGAAACATGTTTCAAATAAAAGAATAGAACAAAATTTCAGAAAAGGAAATAAATAAAATGGAGACAAGTAATGTACTAGTGCAGAGTTCAAGGTTTAAGGATGCTCAACAAATGTAGGGGAAGAGTAGATGACTTCAATGAGAACTTAACAAAGAGATAGAAAACATAAAAGTGGAGATAGAAAACAAAAAAAGAACCAATCAGAAATGAAGAATACAATAACTAAAATGAAAAATACATTAGAGGGAATCAACAGTAGATTAGATGAAGCAGAAGACTGAATCAATGATTTGGGAGACAAGGTAGCAGAAAATACCAATTAGAACAATAAAAACAAAACAAAACAAAAAACCCCAAACAAATAAATAGTTTAAAGAATCTCTGGCTCATCAGGCATATCAACATTCACATCATAGAGGTACCAAAAGGAGAAGAGACAGAGCAAGGGATTGCAAACCTATTTGAAGAAATAATGATGAAAAAGTTTCCTAATCTGGTGAAAGAATTAGATATACAAGTCCAAGATGTGCAGAGTCCTGAACAAGATGAACCCACACCAAGATTCATCCTGATTAAAATGCCAAAGGTTAAAGACAAAGAGATAATCTTAAAAACAGCAAGAGAAAAGCTGTTAGTTATCTACAAGGCAGCTTCCATAAGGCTGCCAGCAGATTTCTCAACAGGCCGGAAGGGGCTGGCATGAAATATTCAGTGATGAAAAGCAAAGACCTACAATCAAGATTACCCAGCAAGGCTATAATTTCAAATTAGAGGACAGATAAAGATTTTTCCAGACAAGAAAAAAAGAAAGGAATTCATCACCACCAAACTAGTATTACAAGAAATGTTACAGGAACAAAGAAGAAGAAGGAGAAGGAGAAGGAGAAGAAGGAGATGAAGGAGAATGAAAAGGAAGAGGAAGAAAAGGAGCAGAAAAAGGAAGGGGAGGAGAAAAAGGAAAAGGAGCAGGAGAAACAAAAATATAAATAATAAGGGGGAAAAAAACTACATATCCAGCAATAATCACTTTAATTGTAAATGAATTAAATGCTCCAATAAAAAAACATAGGGTGGCTGAATGGAAAAGAAAACAAGACCCATTCATATGCAGCCTATAAGAAACTCACTTCCAAATGAAAGACATACACAGACTGAAAGTAAAGGGATGGAAAAAATATTTCAGGCAAATTAAAAAAAAAATCTGGGGTAGTAATATCTTCCAATTGAAAGACACACACAGACGAAAAGTAAAGGGATGGAAAAAATATTTCAGGCAAATTAAATAAAAAATCTGGGGTAGTAATATCTATATTAGACTTTAAAATAAACTTTAAAACAAAGGCTTTAACAAGAGTCAAAGAAGGACTCAGCAATTCCACTTCTGGGTATTTATCCAAAGAAACTCAAAACACTAATTCAAAAAGACAAATGCATCCCTATGATCATTGTAGTATTATTTGCAATAGCCAAGATATGGAAGCAACCTAAGTGCTAATCAATAGATGAGTGGGTAAAGGAGATGTGGTACATACTCTATATATAATAAAATATTACTCAGCTATAAAGAAAAGAGTGAAATCTTGCCACCTGCAACAACATGGATGGTCCTCGAGGGTATTGTGCTAAGTGAAATAAGTCAGATAGTGAAAGACAAGTACCATATGATTTCACTTATGTGTGAAATCTAAAACACAAAATAAACAAACAAAACTGAAATAACCTCATAGATACAGAGAAAAAACTGATGGTTGCCAGCTGAAAGGGGGATTTTTAAGGTTTGCTAAAAAAGATGAAGGGATTAAGATGTGCAAATTACCAGTTATCAAAGTATAGCATAGACTTCGTAGTCAATAATATTGTATATAACTATGTATGGTATCAGATGGGTACTAGACTTCTCAGGTTGATCACTTTGTAAGCTATGAAAATGTCTAATCAGTATATTGTACACCTGAAACTAATGGAATAGTGTATGTCAACTTTAACAGAAAAATAAAAGAATACTTTAAAATTAGAAGTGTCAGTTCTTCTCTTGAAGCGAAGTCCTTCCCGATGTTTGGATGCCAGACAAACTAGCCTTTTCCAGAAAACTGCTGTCCTTGGCTTTGTCTCTAGACAGGACTTGCAGGATTTTATAGCTATTTTGCTAAGGAATCTGTGACAGATGATGTAATAACTCTTACTTTTGACAACTTAATGTATTGAGTGCCGGGCAATGTTCTAGGTGTTTCGTATGCTACCTCATCTCACCTTCACAATGCGAACCTCTGTGTGTCCCACTTTGCCTCTTGTTTAAACTTCAAACAGAGCCATATTCCTGTGCCCCTGATTTTCTCTTCCCTGGGACCATGAGTTTCTCTGTGGATACTTCAAAGGACTGAGGAGCTGCCTGGGCAATTCCAGATTCCACAGAACTTCCGGACACAGCCCCTCCTTAGTCCCCAGAGAAAAGGGGAGAAATGAACCGAGGGAAAGCTGAACTGGGGGAGGGAAGAATCAGGTTTTAGATTGCATTTTTCTCCTGGTGGAAAAACCCAGGGAGGCAGGCTGGATGAGAGGCCTGTCAATCAGCCACCTGCTAGCGCCATCTGGTGGACGCAGGAGGAAGTCAGGCTTTGGAGATGGACCAGATGTAATTTCACAACTTTTAAACCTTATTAGCTTGTAGTATCACCTAGGAAGCCTGCAGCAGGTCTCCATGGCGACCCACGTCCCTGACTCCCTACAAAGCAGGTCCCTTCCCTCTTTCTAGCCCATGAATACCTAGCACAGGTCTGCATACAAGGCTGAGCTTTTCGGAACCACTGATATAGATTAACTGATGAGTTACAAAAAGCTTAGAACCACATAGCTCTCTGGGCCTCAGTTTCCTCGGTGTAAAACGATCGACCTCCCAGGCCTTTACCAGCCTTGGCTTTTGATGCACCAGAGTCCCTGGGAGAGCTTGTTAAAAACACAGACCTGACTCAGACCTGGAGATGGGCCTGAGAATTTGCATTTCCAACAGGTTCCCAGGGGGTGCTGAGATACCCCACCTTGGAGGATCATTATTCTAGTTGGTGAGTCTCCCTGCATGAGAAAATGAATAAACAAGCATGTGGAGGGGACACAGAACTACACCAAACAGAAGCCAAGACTCCAATAACTTATCCGTCAAAGTGAGCGCCCCAGGTCCCCGCAGGGCCTTGAGCCTGGGCTTGCTGGATGCCTCTGTGGTGGCAGGAGCACCGGGGTGGGTGGGGGTGCCAGGAAGCCGAGGGAGCTGTGGTGGTGGGGAAACAGGGCAGTGGACAGAAGAGTCCAGGCTTTAGGCCACAGGTAGGAGAGGACTTTTCAAATACAGGTGCTACAATGGCGTATCTGAAAGAGATCTTGAGAGTCATCTAATTCAACCTTAATTTCTAAGGTGAAACCGACTCAGAAAGCTTAAATATCTCCCAAGGTCACACAGATACTCAGTACTCTCTTTAAGCTCCCAGCCCACTCTCCTCACAAGCAGGTCAAGGGAAATCTCACGAGGTCATGAGACAGGTTAGCTCCACAATTTGCTCCAGTGAGAGGGGCCAGCATCCCCGGAGGGGTTCCAGGCCACACCCCTTCCCCCCGGTGGCCCCTACCTTTCACCAGGGGGAAGAAGCAGTCCATCTCCACGCTGCTCCGGGAGTGCGAGATGCACAGGGCGCTGCTGGGGACCAGGCCCTCCTGCGGGGGGCTGCGTTCCGTGGTGCGCACCAGGCACCAGCCCGGCCGCTCGCTCGGCCGCTCCAGCAGCTCCACCGTCTGCCCCACCTGGATGGTCAGCTCGCTGCTGTGGCCGGCGTTGAAGTCCTGGAGGACCACGGTCAGCTCACATCCGCCGGAGAGCTTGGAGGTGATGGGGATGGGAGCACATGTGAGGGCGTGAGGCAGAGGGAAGGGGAAAGGATGCGTGAGAGCAGAGGAGGAGAAGATGGAAGGGAAAGATGAGATTTGGGGAAGAAGGTAGAGGATGGGAAAGGGAGGTGGGAGCAGGAAAGAAAACAAGAAAAAAAAAAAAAAGGAATTAGTGGTGCCATTGAATCACTCGGCCAGTCCAGCTGCAGCCACAGCTGGGGCCTGCCTGGAACCGGGACTTTGATTCTAACTCCTCGTTTGGTTGGATTCTTCTCATGATTTCTTTGCCAGCTTCCAGCTGACTGTGTCTTTACAGCCCTCCCCCAATATGCCCCTTTGCTTCTTCCAAAGGCTCCACCACATGCCCTACTTCTGCCCCTTCCCACCCCTCAGGCTCTTCCTGATCACCTGTTTCCAAGTCACTCACTCTCACTTGATTCTAGGGAATAATGAGAAATTGCCTTCCCTGAAATCCCCGATTCCTTCCCCATCTCCACCCCTCGCTGGAACCATTTGTTTAAAACAGAGGCTGTCAGCGACCCAGGAGAACATGAGGCTTCAACTCAAAGGCAGGCGCTGAACTCGTTTACCCGGAAGGGGAAGGACTAGGGTCATGTCACACGTGCTCAGCCACCGGTGACCAAGGGGAAGGATGGTGAGGAAGAGGGGCCACATCCGGCTTAGGGACCACCCTTAGTGCTCCATCCTGCCCTCCCTTCAGGCCTGGCCCTTCCCACTGCACTGATCCTGGGCAGAAGCAGTAACCCTGGGCAGAGAGACCCAGAGACAGAAACCACCACCCCTAGATAAACGCTGAGACTCTCACTTTCCCCAAGGGAACGTGTCCATTACCAATGCGTCTCGTCCAGCTAAGAACAAAGCCTCCCGAGGACAGCAGTTGGCTAGAGCATCGCCCCCGTACACCCAAAGGCTGCGGGTTCGATCCCCGGCTGGGGTGCATACAATGTTCCTCTCTCACATCTATGCTTGGCTCTCTTCTATCAGCTAGCTGGCTGTTCTTTCGATGGACAGTGTTTCCATTTGACGGGTGCTCTCAGCACCACAGAGGTCAGCGGGGCTGGCACACCCTATTCCAAACTCCGAGGACACATCCTATTTCCACCAGATGTTTTAAAACTACCTGCTATGGACACTTAACTTCCAAACTGTCAATCCGATCCTGCTTCAGATTCTTTCTACGAGGGAGAGGCTGGGAGCCCGAAGTGGGCAGCACAGCCCCTCAGCATGAAGGCCGGTGTGTCTGGGTCTCCTCTCACCTGAACCCCAGGACCGGTAAGTGGTTCTCATTTCCCTGCCTCCGCAGCACCCGCTACCCCCCCTCGGAGAGCCTGGCCTTGCTGTGAGCCTCTGCCCTGGCCCCCTCCTGGGCGCTTCCCAGACATTTCCGTGGCCTGCTCCCTAGGGCCCCAGGCACAGGCCTGCCCAAGTCTTCCTGACTCTAAGAGCTCCTGGGATTGACTCCTGAGCTGCTGCTGAGTCACCTGATTCTTCCCTCACTTTCCCGGTCTCTCCTTCTGGGTCCTGGCCTCTCCAGGGGGAGCCTGTGCCCCTGCTGCCCATCCCCTGGCGGCTCCGTCCTCCACTCTCTGTGGTGCTTCCTGAGGACAGAAGCAGCTCCTCACAGCCTCACGTGCCTCCTGCCCCTCAGGGCAGCTGCAGCGCCATCTCTCCAGCACACAGGGCCACATGCAAGTGGTGAAAAGGAGACGTCATGCCGACCCTAGGATCTTACAGTCGCCAGAAACTACTGCGTTCATTTAGGTCCATTTTGTGTGGTTCCTGGTTGGGGATAAACTGAGCTTCCCTTACATACAGTGTGAGCTAGATTGCCCCTAAGCACTTCCACACATGGGAAAAGAACCCGGCCACATGTAGAGAGGTGGGGACAGGGCCCTGGCCCGCAGTCCACTGCTGTCCATTCAGGGCCCACATGTCTGCCTCCACCCCTCCTCCCAGCACAGCCTCGTGGCTGAGTGACAGGAGCAAGGTACTCAGTGTCCTCATCTGTAGAATGAAGATAACAACAAAATGTGAGGTCTGACCAAATAATTGCATCGATACCCCCTCCCCTGGGAACTGACCTTAGGCCACGTCACAGTGGACGCTCCACTTGCTTAGACCACATTCCACCTGCTAAGACCATTATCTCTCCCCTCTGGGCTTTCCCAGAATCTCGACCAGCACAGAGAATTCTTTGCCCAGAAAAAGCCCGCCTAGAGTCCTTTAAAAACCTGACTCCCGTCTCTGGGTGCTGGTGCCATTTTGGGGTCAGCCCAGCTGGGATTCAGATGACCTAATACATTTATAATTCTTCACCCCTTTTGGCCTCGTGTGTTCCTCCTCTGGCGACCCTAACAGTAACAGTATCTGCTTCATAGATATGAAGCTTGATATATATCTGCTATGAACACTAAATGAGAGAATACTTCTAATGCATTTAGGACAGCACCTTAAGCAGAGTTAGCTCTCTAAATGTTCAAAAATAAATTCTAGAGATATTAGTAATTATTATGTAAGTTTGAGATAGGGGTACAGAGAAATGGAAAAAATACATTTTAAATTAAAAAAAATTTTTTTAAGAGAAAGAAAGGGAAAGTGAGAGAGAGAAACATCTCTATTGGGAATTGAGTCTGCAACCCAGGCATGTGCCCTGACTGGAAATCTAAACAGTGATCTCTTGGTCCATGAGGCGATGCTCAATCCACTGAGCCTTGCTGGTTGGGCAAAATCATTAATTTTGATAGCACATGGTCCGGGAACATGTACATAGGCATGCAAATTATTATGTAAATGAACCAAATTTCCTTCCATTTTAGTAATTTCAATGGAATCTTGCCCTTACGCAAGCCAACTGAAAGAGCTGGCCCAAAGGCTGTCTAGGAAAAGTGCTGTGGACACCTTCAAAGGTCTCCCACGTCAGCACGCGCTTTCCCTGTTAAGACAAGGGGACCGGTGACCCCGGGTCCCTGGATTCACTCCTGTCTCTTCACTCCATGCCGCTCTTCCATCTGAAGGACCACCCCTCCCGGTGCACAACCCATTATGCCTGCCAGCCGAGCCTGCTGATTGCTGTGGAGGCCGGTTTCTGACACTGCATCGCCCATCAGATAAGTGAGACCAGGATCTCCCTCCTCTCCTGGCTGCCAGAGCTCTACCTCTGTGCATCCGATTTCTCCACAATGCTCAGCCAGGTCAGGCACAGAATTAATCAGCTGAGTTAACGTCTACGTAGGAATGTCAGTGCAGAGGCCACGCGGCCTCAGAGGCATGTGAAGCTGGTGTGGTTTAAAGGGCACTGAGGAGGTCTGCCAGCTCCTGTTCCAACTGCCCTTTGCTCCCCCTGCACCTGCTGCCACCCCGGACTCCCCGCCAGAGATTAATTTCATCCTTAGGTGGCATCCCTCAGCGTGGTACGTCTCAAAGCAGACTATGCACGTGATTCCCCCCCCAAGTACAGAAAGGTGGGAGACATGCACCTGAACTTACATGGCTTTAAGCATAAGATGTTCATAATGGCACTTTTTAATAAGAAAAACTGAACCATAATATTAAAAAAAACAAAAAACCACCTTGAAACTAAAATATAAAAATCTAACAGGAAGGGAATGGTTATGATACATCCACTAAGTGATTGTGTAATGATGCAGCCATCAGACATTAATAAAAGCTTTATAAGAGCTTACAGGATATATAAAGCCAGGTTAAAAAAAGAAAAAGAAAAAAGGAAACAATGACAGGGTGTGAAGTTGCACGTGTAACATGTGAAGAACATTATCAACAACTAACAAGAAATTAATTCATCAAAATGTTAAGACTGGCTTTGTTGGGTGAGGAATTCTGGGTAATCCTTCCCCCTTTCTAATTTCCAGGATTGCTCAATATTCCTCATCTAAGAGTTATTTTAGAGTGATATTAATTATAACATCATCAGTAACCCCTAAGACAAGTCCGCAATGTAATGGGGGAAAGACCTGACACATTGCAGGGAGGCATACACTTTGAAGGAACAAAAGAGGGCAGCGGGTGATGGCTAGTGTCCAGTTTTGTTCCAGGACCAGGATGTGAGCTTCAGGAAAAGCCCCAAGTTGCTGAGGGTGCCTCTGTGTAGAGCAAGCATGTCAAACTCAAAGGCTAACACGGGCCAAATAAACAAGGTTTAAGTTTATGTGGGCCGCAAAAAAACAAGAGCTTCAATTTTTATTTTATTATTATTTTTTTTTAATCAGAGACGAAAGAAGTTTTATTGCTCCCACTGTTAGGTCTAGGGTGGTCTGTACAGAGCAGGGGGCAGGGGACAGGTAGAGCCAGTTAGACTCAGGGAATGGTGGAGCTGGAGGAAGGTGTAGAGATCATAGTCTGATCTCCTCTTTCACTCTCCTATGTTTTACAGTTGAGGAAATAGAAGGTCTGAGATTTAGGAGTCATACCCAAGGGTGCACAGATTCTAGGACTAGAAGCCAAACTGGGATTCAAGTCCTGTTCTCTGTCTCCAAGCCCAAAGAGTACTTGCCACCAAAATATGTCCTCTGAGATTTCTAGAGGGAGGTGATGGTGTACAAATTCAAAGAGCATGGGGCTTTGAAGTCAGGTAAACCCACATTTGAGTCAGTGGGTATGGTGACCAACTGTTCAGGTTGGTCAACATAGAAGGAGGTCTCTAGACTGTGGGACTTCCAATACTCACACTAGGAAAGTCTTGGGCAAACTTAGGCAAGTAGGTCACTTTTACTGCTAAGCCAATTTCGCGATGATTTGGGGAAATTTGGGCCTCAATTTCCTCATCTGGAATCAATCATAGTAGTTCATCTCTTGGGGTGTTGAGAGGATAAAATACAGTGAATATGAGTTTCTGTCCTTCCTCTCCTGATTTATTCTGTCCAATAGAAGCTCTTGAATTTCTTTAGCTGGAAAAAGCTATACCCAGTTTAACAGTTATAATGCTGGTTCGTCTCTAGGTTGGTCCAGATTTG